CCCAAATCACCTTCCAAGAAATCCCAGAGCACGGAGAGCCTGAAGGCAGAGATCTGTCCTTGGGAGGATCAGGAGCCCAAATCCAGTGACAGAGCAGAAATCTGTCCCTGGGAGAGCACAGAGCAGCCCCCGGGCAAAGCCCGTGCAGGGAGCACAGAGCCTTCCAAGAAATCCCAGAGTAAGGAAAGCCTGAAGGCAGAGATCTGTCCTTGGGAGGATCAGGAGCCCAAATCCAGTGACAAAGCTGAAATCTGTCCCTGGGAAGTGGCTGCACCTCAGCTGGACAAAGGAACAGCCCCAGGGAAGGACAGAGTCCCACCAAAGTCGTCCAAACCTGTGGAGAAGGGGAGCAGAGACTGTGAGTCCGTCTGTCCCTGGGAGAGCATGGACACGGAGGATCTCTCCCTGAAAACTGCAATGGAGAAGGAGCCATCCAAGAAATCCGACAGCACAGAGAGCAGGAAATCTGAAATCTGCCCCTGGGAAGCAGCAGAGCCCATGGGGTGGGAGAAGGAAAGCTCCAAAGCAGGTGTGCACCCACGGGGAGCTGACAGAACATCCCACCCCGGGATGGGAAAGCCAAAGCCAGTGGCAGGAGCCAGTGTTGGGTCTCCAACAGCCCTGCTGGAAAAATCCAAGGGCAGCTCTGATGGGGAGGCCAAGCACAAGCCCCTGTGCCGGCTCCTGCCCAGCATCCAGCCCCCAGGGACGGGCAGCAGCTCCAGCCCTGGCACTGGCCTGGCTGAGGTTTGTCCCTGGGAAGCAGAAGAGGCTCCATCAGCACCTGCCAAGCCCAGCACAGACACAAGGAGAAGCTCGGAGGTGTGTCCCTGGGAGGAGGAGAGTGTGGATCCCACCCCCACCCACCACGGCCAGGGCAGAGCCAGGGGGACCCCCCGGGATGGGGAGGGGGGTGAGAGGGAAACCCAGCCCGAGGTGTGCCCGTGGGATCACCAGTAGCCCCACCCATAAATCCCAGTGCAGACGTGGCTTTCGGGGAGGGAAAGGCTGGGGCTGGAGGCTGCTCCCACCTGCAGAGCCCCCGTGCTTGGCCCGAGGTCTTTGCTGGTCCAACACCAACGTCAGGACGTGTAAATACAGCAAATAAAGGGTGTTGTTACAGAGTGTGGGCTGAGAGGCTCCTTTGTGGGGGTGGGGAAGAGCTGAGAGATCCCCCAGGAAGGGGCTGTGGAGGGAACCCAGGAACGAGGTGGTTGAGCTGCAGAGGTTGGAGAGGGGAGATGGGGAGCCACGGGCTGCTCAGCTGGAAGGAAAGGCCATGGGAAGGCCATTCTCCCCCAAAAGGCAGACATCCCACAAAAAAAACAACCCTTTTCATTCAGAGACAGAGCTGGAGAACCTCACAGAGTCCCAGAACAGTTTGGAGGGGAAGGGATCTTTAACACCATCTCCTTCCACCCCCTGCCATGGGCAGGGACACCTCCCGCTAGCCCAGGTTGCTCCAACCTGGCCTTGGACACTTCCAGGGATGGGGCAGCCACAGCTTCCCTGGGAAAGCCATCCCAGTCCCTGCCCACCCTCCCAGGGAAGAATTCCTTCCCAGTACCCCACCTAACCCTGCCTGTGGGTGTGGAGCCATCCCCCTTGCCCTGGCACTTGGGAACACTCTCTCCCCATCTCTCCCGGAGCTCCTTCGGGTCACAATTAGTTCACCCTGAAGTTTCCCCTTTTCCAGGCTGAACAATCCCAGTTCTCTCACCCCTGAGCAGGTCTGGGTTGAGGAGCCACCCCCCCACCTGTCCCAGCACACACAACCAGCAGCTCACAGGGAGTTATTTTTGCCCCTGGCTCAGCTCCCACACTCCAGAGCCCCGAGCGAGGCGGAGGCAGAGGCTCCATTTAGAAAGTCCTTTCAGGAACAGACAGATTGTGACACCCCTCTGGCTTCCAAAAGACATGAAAGGGATTCCATGGCTGGCTCCTCTCCCAAGGCAGCAGAAAGATGATGTTCTGCCCTTCCAAAAGAACATCATTCACGAAAAAACCCGCTGAAAACGCTGCGAGCACAAGGAGCCACAACTCTTTTTTTTTTTTCTAACAGCTCTGCAAAATCTCTTTCAAAGCAGAAATAAAAATGCCCTGAACTCTCAGGGATGAAATAAAAGTGCTCTGGAAATGGCTGAGTTAAAAGGCAAGACAGGGCTGAAGAAGAAAATGCTTTGTTACTGGGTGACTAGTGAGCATTTGGCTCTTGAGGGACTTGGCTGAGCAGAGCAGAGCAGGGAGAAGGTTAATTCCCAGCCCTGGAGAAAGGGAACCTCTGGGGAGGTGTTTTCCCAACCCATCCTGCACAACCAGGCACTGATGCAAATGTCAGTGTGTCCACAGGATGGTGCCAGTCCCCCACTGACAACACAGAACCCACGAGCTCTGCCACAAACACCAAACCCCCACCCTGGGAAAGGCTGACCCTGCAAGGAGCCAAAAATGACATTAAATTGAATTATCAGTGCTGTGCTGCAGCCCCTTGGGGAAACTCCCACTCAGCAGGAGTCCAGTCCCAGCACCCCCCTCCCCAGAATTGGATTTAAAGTGTTCTTGCTGCTTTTCCCTGGTTTTTTTGTTTGAAAAAAAAAAAAAAAAGGAGGTTGGGGATCAGTAGGAAAAGGGAGGGGGAATGGGAAAACAATGTGCCAGCAGCTACTGGTGGAAGTTTTAATGAGTGACCAGCAGGTCTGTGACACTTCCCATGGAAGTGACAAATATCCCACGTCTGGACACACTTCCAAGGGCTCTCCAAGAGCCAAGGGCTCTCACAATGGAAGTCCAGGACAGAGAATGGCCCTGAGGACAAACAGGGGGGTGAAGCTGCAGCACAGAGAGTCCTTGGACAGAGCAAAGCCCTTCTCAGGGCTCATTCAAATCCCTCTCCCGAGCCCCTCTCGCTCCTTTAAGGACAGATTTGGGGTGACTGGAGTCCATTTCTGAAGCCACTTTGTTTGCTGGCCGCTCCCAGGGCAGGCACAGCCACATCCAACCATTCCCAGTCCTGCCTCCCTCCCAGGCTGCTGGCACTGCTGTCCCTGTGCAGGTTCCAGAACTTCCTACTTCACTTCTTCATACTCCTGTGAGGGGTCCAGGGTCGGGCCAGGGATCATCACCGTCTGGAAGAGCAAGGAACAGGATCAGCAGGAGCCAGAGCAGCTCTGAACTGCTGCACCGGGGATTCTTCACGTTGCAGAGAGGAAGGAAGGGGAGCAGAGGGTTCTGGAAAGGGGGGATTGGATGGAGGGAAAACAGGGAAAACGCAAGGGGGGAATGGGGTGGGATGACAGGCCTTGTACCACACTGGAATTCTCACCTCCTTCCCCTAGGATCTGTTTTTAGTAACACAGGGAGACAGAGCCCCTGCAGCACTTTGCCAGGTCAGGCCCAGGGAGAAATAACCCCCCTAAATTATCCCACACCTGCCCTCAGCCTCCTGTTCCAGCTTCCAGGTGCTCCAGGTGACACCACCACAACAACAAACAGCTCTGCTCGTGGATCAACCCACCACCCTCCCCTCACAGGGAGCTCAGCTTTGTCTTCATCCCTGTTTAACCAGGAATCTGCACTTCCCAGCCACGCTGGTGCCTTTTCCTGCTGGGATTACCTTGACAATGGGATCCTTTGGAGGGGCCCACTCCGGGATGATCTTCCCATGCATCCTCCACGAGCCATAGGGGTTCACCAGGTACCTCTCAAACACAACGTACTCCAAAACATCCTTGGGCACCTCCTCCCCACCGTACATGAGCCGCCCGAAGCGGTCGTAGATGGCCAAAATCTGTGAAAACAGCCCAAAAAACCAGGTTGGGCGGGGCTTGGAGCGACCTGGGCTGGTGGAAGGTGTCCCTGCCCATGGCAGGGGGTGGCACTGGATGGGCTTTAAGGTCCCTTCCAACCCAAACCAGCGTGGGATTCCCTGTGATCAGGTGATCAGAGGGATGGGGCACCTTTCCTGCGTGGAAAGGCCGAAGGAATTGGGATTGTTGAGCCTGGAGAAGAGAAGGCTTTGCAGTGACCTCACTGTGGCCTTCCAGGACCTGAAGGGAGCGACAGGAAAGATGGAGAGAGACTATTCACAAGGGCCTGGAGTGACAGGACAAGGGGCAATGCCTCTAAACTAAAAAGGGGAGATTTATATTGGATATTGGGGAGCAATTCTTTCCTGTGAGGGTGGGGAGGGGCTGGGATGGATTTCCCAGAGAAGCTGTGGCTGCCCCAACCCTGGAAGTGTCCAAGGCCAGGCTGGAGCACCCTGGGCTGGTGGAAGGTGTTCCTGGGTGGAACTGGACGATCCCCAAGGTCCTCCCAGCCCGACCCATTCCCTGATCCCGAGGAGAGCAGGGGCTCAGGGCTGTACCTGCTGGGTGTGCATCCTCACTGTCACCTGCCCATAGAGGTTGCCCCTGTTCACGAGGCTGTCACAGCGGACATGGACCACCCTGGGGGGCTCCAGGGACTCCACAAACCTCCACCTGATGGTCTTGTACCTGTTCCCACGGACCATGTCCTGCAGGGGGTAAAAACAAGCAGCAGCTCAACTCGGATGAGAACACATGAAAAGTGCTGCATCCAACAGGGTGTTTAGTCATCAGGGGTTTCCCTCCCAGCTCTTTGCTGCATCCAGAAAAAATGAGACATGATCAGGTTTAGAGAGCTTTAAAAGCCATGGAAGAGGTCAAGGCACTGACCTCTGCTCTCTGTGATCAGTGACAAGATCCAGGGAACAGCAGGAGCTGTGTTAGGGGAAGTTTAGGCTGGATTTTGGGAAAAGGTTCTTCCCCCAGAGGGTGGCTGGCACTGAACAGGCTCCCCAGGGTTTGGTCACAACCCCAAGGCTGTCAGAGCTCAGGGAGCGTTTGGTCAACGCTCTGAGGGACAGGGTGGGATTGCTGGGGTGTCTGTGTAGGGCCAGGGGTTGGACTTTGATGCTTGTGGGTCCCTTCCCACTCAGGATATTCCACGATTCCACACTATTTTGCAGGCAGACACTCACAGGGTAGCAGCGCTCGGTCACCAGGGAGTGAAGTTTCTGCTTGTTGAAACTGCAAAGCAAACACACCCCGTTACTTGGGCACAACAAAGAGGCTTCCCCACAAATCCCTGCCTTTCCAGGAGACACACAGGCTCCTGGCAAAACAGGAAAAGCCAAATTCTCAGCCGTGAAAAATGAAATGAAAGGAGGGCACGAAGGTGAGCTGAGCTGACACAGCTCCAGGGAAAGGGCACAGGAACGGGGGAGCCAGTTCTGACCTAAATGTTTTAGTGATGTTTGGAGCTGGAATCAAGAGCGAGGCAGGTTTGAAATCTGTCACTGGAAAGCAGAGCCAGCCAGTGGAGTGTCATTTCATGGAACCATGGAACGGTTTGGGTTGGAAAGGACTTTAAAAGATTATCCAATTCCACCCCTGCCTTGGGCAGGGACACCTTCCACTAAACCAGGCTGCTCCAACCTGGCCTTGGATACTCCCACAGGGATGGGGCAGCCACCCTGGGAATCTCTCCTTGTCTTTCTAATCCTAGGGGGGTGGAACTGGATGAGCTTTAAGGTCCCTCCCAACCCAAACCATTCCATCTTTCCACGATTCCATGAAAACCAGAGCATGTCAGCAAAGAGAGGCAGGTCCTACAAAACCCACACCAGCCAGGGAAGGGTCTTACTTTGCCAGGGAATTGTGAGCTTCAATAAATATCTCCTGAGCCTTCTCTGGGAAGGTTTTAGTGCTGAAATCCGGGTCGTGATCTTTGATCTTCCGCAGGCTGAAAAGACAGGAAAAGGAAGGAAGGGACAGGTTGGAGCTGTCCCAGGTGTTTTGGGTGATGGCAGCCTCTCAACCCCCCAGTATCTCACAGAGACAGACAGAAGACACCAGTTCTGTCACAACACAGACCCAGCAAAGCTCCTGCAGCACAGGATTAAGCTAATTAATGACTGAGGAGTCACTCACGCCAGCTGGGAGGCCGCTGTCTGCTTCAGCTTATCCATCTTCTGCTTCAGCCCCTCCCTGGACAGGGTGGACAGGCGGGCATCGCCCTCGGGAGGGACATATGGATCCATGATGTCAGCTGGGAGAGGGAGAAAAGGTCAGGAGGGGGCTCAGAACCAGCAAAATTAAGGAATCAAAGAAGCAGGTGATGATATTTATGAGGTGAAACAGGAGCACGCAGGGAATTGCTGGGCCAGGAGCTGCTTCAGTTTTGGCCCCAGAGCAGCTGCCCCACCTGTGGAAGCCAAGTAGAAGGTCCGTTCTATGTGTTCGTCGGGAAATATCGGCGCCGCGGACTTGAGCCGCCACATCTTCTCCTCGGGAGTCAGTTCCCGGGCCCAGTCGGGGACCGCAAAACTCTTCCTCTTCCTCGTTCTCACCGGGACGACGAGGCAGGACGGAGCCGCTCCGGGGCGCACCAGGGACTCTGCAGCCTAAGGAAGGGAAACAACAAAGCCTGGAGTGACACACACAGCTCCAACACCTTGATTTACCTCCCCTCACACCTCCCAGGCGCGAACACGCACCACCTGTCCCACGTCCCTCCGCGCACTCCCTCGCCCCTGAGCGCCCCATATCCCTCAGCTCGCGTCCCCCGCGGTCTCCTGAAGCCCCTCCAGCCCCTCACCGCGGTCCCCTCGAGCCCGACCTGCCCGAGGAGCCGCGGGACCCTCAGGCCCAGCCCCGCCGCCATGGCGGCCACCATCTTGTCCCGCCGCGGGGGCTGCCGGGAAGGTAGAGGAGTCCCATCCGCGGGGTGGGCGTGGTTTTGCGTCGGGGTGGGCGGGGCCTGAGTCCGTTTTGTGGGCGCGGCTAAGGAGGGGGTGTCGCGCGCCGGGAGGGGGCGTGGCCGGCGCGAGCCCCGCGCGAGCCCGCGGGCGCGCGCGCGGCAGCGAGTGGAAAATTCCATCGGCTGCGGAGCTTCCCGAGGGGGCGGGGCCAAAGGAAGCTCCGCCCCCCACTCCCATGGAGGGTGGGGGGATGACCCCCCCCCGTCGTGCCTGGCGCAGTGCGGGGGGGGGGGGTCCTGGGAACCGAAAACGGGGATGATCCCCCCCCCCGGGACCCCCATCCTGCCCTATGACGGGAGTGCTGTGGGTGTAGGACCCCCCGGACACGCAGTGCCCCCCCAGACCAGCAGAACCCCTTCAGACCCGCAGGGCACCCCCAAGACCTTCAGAGCCCCCCCCAGACCCGCAGAGCCCCCCCAGGCCCGCAGAGACCCTCCCAGACCTGAGAGCCCCCCCTAGACCCGCAGAGCACCCCCAAGACCTGCAGAGCCCCCCTGGGACACACAGAGCCCCCCCAGGCCCGCAGAGACCCTCCCAGACCTGCAGAGCCCCCCCAGACCCACAGAGCCCCCCCAGGCTCCCGCAGCCCCCCCAGCAGTTCAGCGCGGTACCCGACGCTTTTGGAGTTTCCCGTCACGGCAGCCCCTGGGGATGGTGGTGGAGGGGGGACTCGGGGACGGGGGTCCCTCTGAATGTCTCTGGAACAACCTGGAATCCTGGGATGCGGCACCCCCGCGGGGCGGCTGGCAGAGGGGGGCACATGGTCAGGGGTCCTCTGAATGTGCCCAGGGCAACCCGGGCTGGAGCGTTTCTGGGGGGCTGTTGGCAAAGTGGGGGATGCTCAGGGGGAAGGATCCCTCCAAGCCCCCCTGGGACAGCCCAGGATGTAGCAGCCCTGGGATGCTGCCGGTGGAGGGGGGGCTCAGGGGCAGGAGTCCATCCAAATGACCCTGGGACAGCGCAGAACACTGGGATGCAGCACTCCCAGGATGCTGGTGCTGGAGAAGGTCTCGTGTTAGGCGTCTGTCCTGATGACCCTGGGACAGCCCAGACCCCTGGGATTCAGCATTCCCAGGATGCCGCTGCTGCTGGAGAGGGGCTCAGGGGCAGGGCACCCTCCAAACGTCCCCGCTGGCGAACGCCCCGACACAAACCAACTCATCCCACACCCTCTCCCCTCGAAATTCCATCTCTGGGAGCCGCAGGGACACCCTGGGGATGCTCATCACCCGCCCACGGCCCCACAGGCGATCCCAGCACGGGAAGGGGGGGTGCGAAGCCCGGGGGGGGCCCTCGAGAGCCGGGGGGGGGCTCGTCGGGAGGCTCCGGGCGCGCCGGCTCCGCCTGGCCCCGCTCCCAGTTTGCTTTGGGGACTGTTGATCTTGGCTCCGGGGCCGCGTTGCTCCATCGGACAGCTGGTTAATGTGTAGTGACGGCTCCGCTGTGCCCGAGACCGTTGATCCCGGCCCGCGCTGTTATCTGCGCCGGCGGGAGCGGGATGAGCCGGGAGCGGCCGAGCCAGGGGGCAAGGGGGAAGGCCAGGCCCCTGTTGGGGGGGGGAGGGATGGCATCTGCATCCCAAAATTTGGGGTGATGCTCGTGGAGGGTCAAAAATAGGAGAGGGGGGATGCTCCCCGCTGTGCCACAGTGGGAAAACTGGACCTGGTTTACCCTCTGGAAAACAGGGATGAAGCCCCAGGGGCTCCAGTCTTGGAGCAGACGAGGCTGAGTCACTGGTGCCCCATGGCCCCGGCGCTTTCCCACGGCTTGGGACTCGTGGGGCTGGATTTTCCCAGCCTGTCCGGCTCTCCTGGCTGCAGAGCTGCCCTGTGGTGCCATCCCAGCCGGTTTCACCTCCGTGGGCATCGTTTCAGGGCTCTGGAACCGCCTCGGAGCCACATCCTCGTTGTGGGGGGCTGCTGGGATCTGGGAGAATCCCTGCCTGCAGTTTGGGATGGGGCTCCATCTGGAGATGCCACCTGATGGTGCCTCCAGCCCACGTGTGACCTTCCCCTTGCACAACCACCACTCTGCCAGGGATTTGTCCCACGGGAGAGCAGGATCAGGGCTGGGATCAGGGCTCTGAGCTGTCCCTGCCACCTCCAGGCAGGGGCTTGGCCACATTTCCTTCCATCCATCCATCCTTGTGCAACTCATCCCAGGTACCTGGCGAGGCAGGAGGCGACGGGAAGAGCCGCACGCACGCACAGGGACACACAGGGAGAGGGAGAATCCAGGCAAAACGCCTCCCAACCCCCCGGAATGTCCCACGGAGCAAGAGGCCCCAAGAGCCACTTCGCAGCTTCGAGTGCTGCTGTCCCCCTGCTCCCGAATACCAGAGATTCCAGCCCTAAGCCGCCGGCCCAGACCTTCGAGGCAGGATTAGCCGGTGCCCTCCGGCTGCTCCCGCTCTGGCCAGGGACGGCCAAAGCTCCGGCGAAAGAGAGAAGGAAAGAAAAGCCTCCCTGGGGAATTTTCTTTTTCTTTTCTTCCCCCTTTTTCTCCCCTGGTTAGAAGGGAGCACTGACAGCGGTTGGTGGCTGGGGGGTAATTACAAGTCCTGGCTTCCACCCTGTTTGTCCCCAGGCCCTCCCCAGTCTGGCGCTGCAGGAGGACCCGGTTTGGTCGGGACACTGCGGAGGAGGAGGAGGCTTCCCCCTGGCTCTCTCCATGGAGGCTCTGTCTTTCTTCCCTCTTTCTCTCTGGATTCTTGCTGACAGCAGCATCTGTCATCTGACAATACCTCCAGCAGCCACAGAAAGTGCCCGGGGCCCTTTGCTGAGCACGTGGCCTGTGGCCACTGGGCCACTGAGCCCCCTCACATGCCAGGAGGGCACCCAGTGACCCTTTGGCCACCGGGGATGGGAATTAAAGCTCAAAGGAGACAATCCCCTGCGCTTCCCTCCCGCGGTGCCAAGCAGCTCTGCTCCAGGAATAGGTTTATCCTGCCCCTGACCTCATCGTGGCTCTGCCCATGGCCACGAGCTGCGCCAGGGCAGCGAAGGGAGGGGATTTTGGGGGCTGGCAAAATCCCTCAGCATGACTGTGGCACGGCTGGGCTTCATCCTTCTGGCCAGCCGTGGTGGCCTCGGGGTGTCCCCAGTGTGGCACGGCCAGGCTGAGTCCTATCCCATCCATCCTGGCTGCAAATCCCTCATGGAACCTCCTTGATGAACCGTGGGATCACCGCTCCAGCCCTTCCCTCACCGAGGGGGGAGACAGGACTTTCTCTCCGGCATCCAGCTGGGAGCTCACTTCCAAAACCAGCCATGAAACACCCCCCGGGCCGGGGCCCAGCCCACGGTCTGCCCGTGTCCGTGTGTCCCGCCGAGGCACTGGGAGGTGGCGGGATGGAGGAGGGCGGCAGCTGCCGCAACCCCCCGCGCCGCTCCAGCTGTTTCCAGCTGTTTCCTTGTCTCCCTTTCCCTCCCTGGGGCTCTGAAGCACAATGCGGCCCCGCAGCAGCCCCAGATGAACCCGGGCTCAGCAGCGGTTGGTTTTCATAATGATGTGCTAAGAGCTGTCTGTACTTTCTCCCTGCCCCAGTTCGTGCCGCTGGCTCCTCCAGGTCTCAGTGAATCCCTGCTCCCTCCCTTGGATTCCTGCTTCCCGCCTGGAATCCCTCCTCCCTCCTCAACTCCCTGCTCCCTCTCTTCAACCCCTGCTCCCCTCCCTCCCTGCCTTATATTTTAAACAGTGAGGTACCACTTTTAGTAAAAATAGATTTATTTTTTTTGGGGGGGGAAGAATGAAAAAAAAAGGATCAGTCCCATTTTCCAGTGGTGGAAGGCAAGGAATGATTTCCAGCTTCCTCCTTAAAACAGGCAGTTTGTGGCACCCCCAAAGCCGCAGCACACTCGCTTTTGGGAGGCTGAGATTAATCAGATCCATGTTTAACACCACATGGAGCCAGAGCAGGAGTTCTTTGATCCGAAACCCAGAGCAGGGCTGGGCTGTGGCTGTCACCCCAAAAGCGGGGCGCAGGGAAAGCTGTGAGCAGGGGGACCCCCCATTAACAAGGCACACCGGGCCACCCCCTTGGATCTATGAGCACCAGGACCACCCACTAGAGGAGAGAGCTCTGGGACTCCCAATTAATAGGGTGCACTGTGCCATTCCCGGGCCCGTGAGCATCAGGACCCCCATAACGGGGTGCACTGAGCCAGAGTGTGCCCAGGTGGCCAAGAAGGCCAATGGATCCTGGCCTGGCTCAGGAACAGGGTGGC